CCCCAAAACCCCAAAACCCCACGTAATGATTTATCAGTAGAAATCTGGAAATTAAAATATTTCTTTTTTAAAAATGTATATAGTATTTTGGCTTTTGTAAATTAGCAATAAATTTAAAATATATAGTCAAACTATAATTTTCTTATATTTAAAATTTCTTTAAAAAAGTTATCAATACTTGTGTCATTTATATTCTACCCTTGGAATCCTATCAGTTGCGAATTCAACTCCTTATTTTTATATATAGTTCACAACTTTCTCTATTGTCTTTTTCTTTAGATATAGTTCCTTGTTATGTTAAAATTCAGCGGAATTTCTAATACTATCAAGATAATCTTTGGTAGAGACTATTTCATTTTCATTAGAGCCAGGGGAGCCAGGAGATTACCTCAGTGACTAAGCTAGTTATTTTCTTTTGGAGGGAGAATTTTCAGAATTTTTATTTGATTCCTAGATTTTTAAATTAAAATACTGCTGTAATTGTTTCTTGTCAAGACTGTTGCTAAAATGATCTCTATTAGATTCCAAAAACTAAATAAGTTTATCTTTATCTTGAAAGTTAGTTTGCTTAATATTATTCTCATATTAATTTATTAAGACATCTTAATCCATCTCTGTGGGCTAGGTGATAATATTATCTGTCATTTTAATTTTCAGTTTTAGCAATCTAAGTTCGTCTTGAAGATTTGATTAGGACTATATTAAGATTTTTTTACAATTTTCATCACTAATTGATTGACTCTTTATGTTAAAGTTTATTCTTGAAGTCTCGCCGATTTTATTGGTGCTTTCCTAATTGAGCTAGTTGAAGCTAAAGTTAGGTATAGCTCTGCTGATACCGCCCTAAAGAGTATTGACATTATCAAAGAAGTCTATTTCTTAGTAGACCTTGGACTATAGGTTCAAACGCTATCTAAGCTGTTTCATATTTATCGCCTTGCCTGCTCTATATATCCATTCTTCTTCATCTATATCTTAGTTCCGCTTGCTTTATCCTGCTTACTTTTTATTTGCTTCAGTCATATCTATGTTATGTTCAGGATTCATACTGGCATTTGTCATATGATTTAGCATCTTAAGAAAAAGTTTTGTCTTTCGGGTGAAGTCGTTTGGATTTGAGAAGGAATCTCTATCAAATGATTTACTCTCAAATGACTTTCTGCTTTTAAAGCTAAATTCAACCTCTCCCTCTTTGCTATCTTATTTCATTGACTTTCTAGGTGAATCTATTCGATCTATAAAAACATTTAACTAATATAGTCTTTTACCGTTAATAGACTCTAGAGGTATAGGATTTTGATTGAAAGATGTATTATGTGCTAACTTATCAGTGCTTTTATTATTTGATATAGGCTTAGATAGTTTATTATGCAAGGTATTGGAGGTTCCAATTGATGTTGACTTATCTAATATACTCCAATACTCAAGACTCGAGTCTATCTAGGGAGTCTGGTCCATGTTATTCTTGCCAAGTTTTATCTATAATCCTGGTACTGTCTCTTTCCTAGGTGCTATAAATTGAATTATTTGATTAAGAAAAATTACATCCAAATTTGTATGAGGATTATAGTTTAGTTCTAAGAGGGACCTATGGCTTAGGCCTATGCGCACTAGTTGAGAATAGTTTTGTAATGCTGTCTTGAATGGCATGAGCTTGAGTTGTAGTAGGATTTTGATTTAGAAGCAGCATAGCTGGGTTTAACTAAAAGTTACTACTAGTCTCATCAAGAACTCTCTTGACTTTGGCTTTTAGTTTGTCTTAAGATTTGCCCTTATCCTCTTCTAATATCATCTCTGCTTTCGACATATTATGCCCTGATAAAGATACTCTCGGCAAGGAAAATTTGAAGTTATATAAAGTTTTAACTCTCATCGCATCATTCTTAGATTAGATTCTATCAAGCTTCATCAGATTGATATTCTTTTTCCTTAATAACATTTTTTGTAGGTTTTGCTTTTTTATGGCGTCATGGACACTGGAGCTATTATCAATACTGCTACTTAGTCTTTAAGCCTCCAATTTATAGAGCTGTGTCAGAGTGGATTAATTAAGCTAATGCAGATTTTAATTAGTAGCAGTCTGTTTAAGTATTGCACCATCTGCAACAGTGATTTCATCAAGCTAAGGTTTCATTGAAATGTTGAATGCTTTAGAGTCATTCGGATTAAAGTTTTGACTGCTTACTGCTTAATCTATCGAACCTTTCTAGTAAGCCTTTTGCCAGTATTACTTGATAGGGGAGTGCTGCTGACTTCTTTCCTTCAGGCAAAAACTACCCTCCACATAGTCTCTTTAACTGTGCAGTCCTTAGATAGCTCGACCAAATAATTACGGTGTATCAAATGTATCTTGCTGAATATTATTGGTATTATTTACGCTTGCTCTGTCTCGCGTGGTAATCATGGACTCATACAGATGCTTCAATGACTTCTTCTTCTTGCCACTCATAGACACGTTAGCGTTGGTGTTATACTCGCTGGTGTTTATAATGGAGTGATTGGTTCTGATGTCTGTACTCATATTGCTTCTGTCCATAAGATTATGATAAGGACCCGTATTATTGGGATCAATAGTGATCTTGCGAAGTCGCTCATTATTGAACTTCGATCGCGGACTCTCTGCTTCTTCCCTGATGTCGGTCATATCTCCTTCTGCCTTCCTTCTCACTGAGGAAGGATTGGTACTGTACCTGACTTATTATTTCTTATATCTGACTAAGTTCTATCTGGGACTAGGTTATTGCTGATAATTATTGGAATTATAGTTGAGATTGTTAATCATCTGCTGTTTCTACCTAGGACTTTGCTGGGTTGTCAGTGAGGGATTCAGAACAGGCAGCCGCTGGTTAATGAAATCATGGGTGATGTTGTTATACTTGCTGAAGACTTGGACATGGAGACCCTAGTTAAATATCTGGTTGGAAAATGACTATGACTTCTAATCGTAAGGTGTTTAATTTATTGCAACTGGCTTCATCTAATCACAGTTTATGATTTTATTCTTTAAAAATAGTTATTGAAATCAATGAAAAGACAAAATTAATATAATTAATTCATTTAGTCAATCTGCCAACACAAAATCAAATGAATACCGAATCTAAAAGCATATAGTCCATTACAAGTGATACTACCGTTGCAGAGAATACAATAGTACCTTAGGAATTTCAAGAGGAGCCTATCAAGTACAGGAATTTACCTAGCTTTAATGAGGATTTAAAAAGAATAAAGGATTCAAAGAAGACAATGGTCGGTGGGTAGCCCACACAGCAGAAAATCTCATTCATGCAAAGTCGCAAGCTACGAAGCAAACTAAGCAAATTAAAAGAAGTCAATGGCTCTTTGCTTCTTAAAGAGGTATCTAGACCTTATATGTCAACTTATAATAACTACTTTATTAGATAGAATAAGAGCGACAGCAATATTTGTACGAGTATACTCATTAGCTTTAGAGATAAAAAGACTAGGAAAGGGAGAGACAGACTATGCTAATGGTCTCTATGAGCGGGGGTTCACGGTAGACACAGTTTAGATAGTAGCGGTCAATGTCGCATGACCAAGATGGGTTTCACCAGAGTGAGTCTTCAGATACACAGTCTCAATCAAATCAGAATGTCAATCATAAAAGTCATAGTCAAAATGATTTGATGAAAATGCGTACCCCTGATAGAAACACTCGTAAATCCCAAATAGGCAAAACAGCCACTCTGCTGATGATGAATTAGGACAGAGCCAGTGAAAACTTCTAGTCTGTGTTGATACCTTAAACAGACATCGTTAAGAAGCTGAATGCCACTTTTAGCTCTATAGATGAGATAGAATTAAATAGATTTTTTAAAGATAGGAGAACTCTAGATAAGAGTGAAAGAAGCTATCTATAAAAGTATATTCTTAAAGGATTGCCTCATTCTATTAGAGGGAAGGTAAGCATATGATTACCTCTAATGCCAAAATTAATCTGTTTCTATTTAATTTTGGACTAGGCTTAATTTATATATAACAATCTTGATTATTGACTTCAATTTTAGTTCTGGATGGTAAGCTCTGGAGCATTGTCCTATTCTAGTAACTATCAAGATGATTATTACAAAAATCTATGCGAAAACTTTATAATATACCCAAATCCTCATTTTAATCAGATATAGCTTGTAAGTATATATTATTAATATCACCGTAGGACTTAGCTAGGACATTTGCCAACGACAGTTTTTACACCTCAAAGGAGAACCAAGATTCAATAGAAAGGATACTTTAGGCTTATGTAAGACGAAATCCCACTATTGGCTACTGCTAGGGGATGAATTTCATCGTGGGCAGACTTAGGAAATATCTTAAAGAAGAGGTATAATACTCTATATAAATGAATTATTAATAGGAAACTTTCTGGCTATTCTGCATGATTATCGAGTGCTATCTGCCATTCGACTATTTCGAGATGATGATTGGAGTGCTCATAGACCAAAAGGTGTTTATGAAAATGGTAGAGGCACAGTTCAAAGATCTCTTTAATAAATTCAAGGATTTGGGGTTTGATTTCGCTATACTTGCTTTTCAATGGTTTCTCTGTATATTCACATATAATATGCCTGAAGATGTAAGATATATAGATATTTGATGCTATAGACTGCTTTAAGCATCATTGATGTGTTTTTGCTGAAGGGAAGCAAGACTTTATTCTAAGTTGGAATTACTTTGATCTAACTTATTGAATCGCAGATTATTGCTTGTGAAGATATAGGAGACTTGTTTTAGATATTCGAACCAACAAATGCAGTATTCACATAGAAAAAGAAGATAATAGAGAAGGTCTTAAACACCAAGCTAACCAATAAATTTATCAAAGCATAGAGAGCTAAATTCACAGATGAGGCTTTAAATGAAATTAAAGAATATGAAACCTCCAAAAATAAGAATTAGAATCAGAGTAATAATAAACAGCAAATGCTGTAGCAGTTCAAAACTTAAAAGAACGTAGATGACCACCTTAAACTTAGATTTCTCTAAAAATTCCCATTGTTTTAGAGCCCTAACAAGATGAAATCAACAGTCTCAGAGTGTGATGAAAACTAAAGAGAATTTTTTCATTGTGATCACGTCAACTGGCCTAGATGTATATTTGACTACACAGCCAGTAGTATTCTTCCATAGTAATTTAGTTTTAGAGTCAAGCATGATCCAAGTATCATCAACGATTACTATTTTTACCCTCAATACACTAAGTAGAGTCAAGACCTGTTTGCAAGCACACAAAGTATTTTTTCATAGTTTAGTAATGGTTATGCAGTTGTCAATGACTCCATTTATAACTAACTTATTATAGAGAGAAATTATCACCCTTGCTCAAATAAACAGTTCAAGTATAAATTCATTGACTTATACAATAAGGTTTGCTATGAATTACTAACAAGTCCACTATTAAACACACAGCTGTGCTCTGATATATAGGCAAAGCAAAGATTAAAATAATTTATGGAATATGTACTCAACTATTAAGAACCCTTGAATGTAGTACCAGAGGATGCAAATGAGGATCTGGATGGTGCTAATAATTCAATAAACTCAACTGGATTTAAAAAGAAGATAGGTTCATCATCAAATAATCTCCTTAGTGGTGATAGAGGACTACTTTCTAATCTAAGTGAGGATGGAAGGATTAGTATGCAAAGTTCACATTCTAAGTTGAATCAAAGAAGTCCAGAGTAGTTAGTAGAGTCAGATGGTGAAGACTCTGACGACAGTTATTTTATGATGATGTAGGACTAAACTAATTAACAGCCAAAAGACGAATTAGTATAGTGGTTGAGTAGGTTTGACTTAACAGAGGTTCATAGGGCTACCTATGACTTTACAGGCTCAGATCAATATAAGTCCCTTAGCAAACTGATGCAAAAAGATAAAAGTAGTAAAATTGGGTCCATTAAATTTAACAGCAACTTTATGTAAACTGAGCAGTCTTCTAGTACCAAGCATTTTGAATTTGGGAGTCAAAAAATAAATGACGATATTTCAAAGAGATCACAGAGTCACAATCTAATGAACTTAGTTTCGCACTATTAGAGATAACTACGGCAAAATCAGAAAAAGTCTGGAATGATCGATAGTAAGGGGTCAGTGATAGTGCCTCGATAGGATAACAGAACATCAGTTGGAGCTATGATTAATCAGAGATCTATACATGCTTTCATCACGAAACACAATCCAGAAAATTTGAATGAAAAGCAGACCACATTAATGCGGATGTCTTCAATTATAGCGTTTAACAATAACTTCTTATGATAGTTATCTATATATAAAAGGTTTGAGTATTGCAATAAATTAAGCAAATTTACCTAAGAAAATAGAATGATTAAGAAAGTTTAAGAGAGTAATAACTACATACTTATTTATTGATTAAAATAGTTAATTTAAACTCTTACTTAAATAAATACTTGATTAACTAATTCATTCGTTTATAAATTATTCAAAGTGGATGTTACCCTCTATTGCAAGTTGAAAAGAAATTCAGCTCTCTGTATTTGAAAGAATAATTTAAATCATCCAATTTTGTCTTTTTAATCCTGAGAGATAGAGTAAACCTGCTCCAAAAAATATGCCTTATACAAATGGCCCTAATGTATACTTAAATATTCCACTGAAAAATGAACACCACCATGACTCTGGTTACTTTATATCTTATAAGGGCCTTATAATATTATAGCGAGAAACAGTTTCAATGATTTCAACTTTTTGTTCTTCCATATTTACTAAATTATCTTTAATATTACTTAAAATATTGTATGTATTTCTTCATTCTTTTTACTTAAATTTTTCTTATCGGGGTTTTGGGGTTTTGGGGTTTTGGGG